TCTTCTTTGCTCATGCAAACCCCTGACACGCGAACCTACTTCATCGAGAAAAGTGTATTATGCGTTAAATAAGGTACAGGATCGCCGTTGCGGTCACCCAAATTTACTTGAAAAACAATTATTTGTTCGTTAAGGGCGCATTAACACCCGTAACGGAGGCAGCTGAACAATATTCCCTATAGTGGTTTCGAGTTCGCGTTGTTCTGCTTGATACATGTACAGCTGGCTACGATGAAGAGGACTCGTTTGCTCCTACCAACATTACACTCATCCGGTTTCGAATTCACACTCGAACCAATTACCAGAAACAGCAACAGATGTGGGCAATTGACATCACCTTAATTTAAGTCTTGCTCAAGCTATGAAGTCTCCTCGGCTGCTTCCTAGAACTCGGATCACTGCTCTTACGCTGCGTGTTACTTTTGGCGCCTTGTCACCGTCCCGAATGTAGGCTGATTTCTTTTTTTTGTTCTGTTATTGCAGCCATGGTAGAACTTGACCCCCCACCCCAGTTTATCTGTTTATCTTCTCTTTAAATACATGTTTTCGAAATATATTTTATATGCGTCAAGCACGCCAGTCTTAAGGATGCAGACGTCTTAAAGTCTGCCTACCTCTGTAAAATGCTGTCAAGTGCAGCTGCTGAAACTAGCGGTCCAAGCAGCCATCTAACGTTGCTTCAGAGACGATTGCCCTTTACTGGAACTGAGACAGCTGGTACTCGGTTGTGATGTAGTATCTGTACACGTATGGTAAACACTGAGTAGCATTCGTATGGTTGACCGGTATTTACACGCACTACGCTTGTCTTAGCTTCTGCTGGAATTAAATCAGTCCCCTGCTTTGGTAATCAAACTAAACTACAGAATATTTTATTGATCAACAGATGATTGTGTTTCACCTACTGACGTTAGGTTAAATCTTGATCTGTTACTTTACCTAACTTACAAATCCGACTCATGAGACAGAGACACGCTATGGTCGGCTTCTTACTTGACTCCGTTCATTTTTTGAAATTGAACCTGTCCGCACAGAGAACGCTGACCCTCTGTTAGACAATCAAGTTGATATGGACGCGACGGATGACGAGAAGGAGGACGCCGACGATGTGGCCAGCCGCTGGCTATCCGGCGGTGCTGGTGTGATGAGTCGCTGGCTGTTGCACGGTGCCGCTCCGGT